AGCCTAAAGTTACTTGGGTTTTTTGGTTTTTGTTTGCTTCGGGTTTTTTTGTTTGTTTGTTTTTTTTTCCTTGGCGCTTCCGAAGAGGCTGTAAAATCTGCCGGGAGAGAAAGAGACGGGGGGAGGAGGAAGATTTAGGGAAGAAAAAAAAATGGCGAGTTGCAGGAGCAGCGTGGAGAAAGCAGCATTTTTGTGCTGCTTCTTGCTGGCAGCCGTGAGCTTAACCTCCTGCGCCCGGGCGAAGGAGGAGGAAGAGCAAGAAAAGCAGCGCTCCTGCCACGGTGCCTTTGATCTCTACTTCGTCCTGGATAAGTAAGTGACAGTCACATTTAAAAACGTTTATTCACCCTTCACTGCCTTCTTGCAGCGGCAGGGACGTCGCCTCCCCCGACCTCCCCCCGGTGGGCGGGCCAGCCGCCGTGCGTGTAGCTCCCCGGACGGGCGCCTTTCCCAAGTGCGACATTTAGGGGAGCCCCGGGCTTTACCCCGGGTTAGTGCTACGTGCTGCCCCGGGAAATCGGGTCCCCCTCGGGTTGCAGTGCATGGTGTGTGTACGGGCTGGGAGCTTGGGTGTGAGGTGATGCTGATCGGTGCTCCCAGCGCTTCTGGAGCTTAGTGTAAAAACTCTGGCTAAGCTTAAAGAGGAATTTAGCTATGCTAGGGTTCAGTTTGTGCAGCTCTAACTAAGGCTAAGACTAGTGTTGGTAGGCAATGACTAGTATTTTACAGGCTCACTGTAAGGTTTTATAAAACCTGTTTTTTTTTCTGATTAACTTCTTCAGAATTGCCTAAACCTGTGTTTTGGATGTGTCTGTCAAAATATGTTGGCAAATCCTTTTTTTTTTTTTTTAATACCATGTTATCCTAATTTAGATATGGCCGGAGGGCATGGTTACGTTCACATTTGTAGTCATGTTATAGCAAGTGTTAGCAGAGTCTGTGGTAAACTGGTACACCCACAAGTATTTCTCAGAAGGCAAAAACTTCTGTTTCTCCTGGTGCTTGGACCTGTGCTGGCAGCCAAGGGTTAAACTTGAGAAGTAAATTGTTGGCCTCCCACGCACGGTCAGTGTGATAGTTGTGTTATCCCATATATCCTGGGTAATGCATTAGATGAGATTATGAAAGACTGGAGCCTTTTCTTTGTTACTCTTGCCCAAAAGCCAGGTATAAGTCTTCATTGTTCCATTTCCCAGCTGGGAGGACTGTTGGCTCCATCAGGCCTTTGCACAGCCTGCTTGAGGCAAACAGCCGCCCTCACTCAGGGGTCAGTGTATTCCCTTATTCAAGAAGGAGAAAGAGGTGCCATTAGTAGCCATTCTGTTCTGAGAGCAGAAGGATCTGAAAACGACCTAAGGCATTCTCCATTTCTAAAGATGCAGGGATGCGCTCTGTGTGGTGGTTTTGGTTGGTCGATTGGTTGTTTTTTTCTCTCCACTAAGAACTTCTTTCTGAATGCCCCTTCGAGCTTGCCTAGGAGGAGCTCTGGAGGGACTAGTGCTAGGTGCTCACATTCATACCTGGCCCTCCCTGACTGATGCTGCCCGCTGCCTATATTAAATTTGCAGTAACAATGAATAACAGTGATTGTGATAAGGGTTGTTTCTGTGACATGGCGTCTGTTTTTTTACGGTGTGGTTTCTGTATTTAAAATGTCATTGTGTACCTTCAGAAATCAGAACGCTGCCCTTTTATGCTGCTTCTCATCTGTAGATCACAAACCACTTTACTGAGGCAATTGATATCATTACTTGTGCCATATTTGGGTAAAGTGAGGCAGAGAAGAGAATGATTTGCTCAGAGTTACTGATGTATCAAGAAATAGAAAGTTGTTTGTGTAATTAAGTTCCTCTTCAGTATGGGGGATATGAAATCATATGCTTTCTTTTAGCTGACTACAGGTCTCATACCTTGGTTTGGGCACTGTCTACTCTGTATGTTGATCTCACTGCAGACTCAACTGGATTATGGTTGGAGTAAAAGTGTACGCTTAGGTTCCAGTGGGAAAATTCTTTGACGTCAGTCACAAACTGAGTCTTTATAACCTTCAAGAGGTTTAAAGAGGAACTCTGGTAAGAAAACTGCAGTAGAATTTGTTTGGCCCTTTAGGTGGTTTTAGAATCTGCTCTGCCTCTGTTGAAGTCAGTGGCAAAGCTGCTTTTGGCCTCAATGAGATTGCATTACAATCCATATGGGTAGTGTTAGAGCGCCAGATCTTAAGATCCATAGGTCCCTTGTTGTTCTCCTGCTGTAACAGTATGCACATGGCACTCGGGAGGGTGTACTTGCTGGCTGAGGCTGTATTTAGTCCCAGCTATATTTGGTGTGACATCTGGCACAGCACAGGGAGGCTTTCTGATGGCAGGGAGGACTGATTTAGTAGATAGACTCTGGATCTTGGGATAGCTCATTGGAAGAAATTAGATAACCCATTCAAGTTCAGAAGGGTCAGGATATTCCTAGTAGGCAGAAGGCAAGAAGCCAGTTAGAAGCAGCTGATCAAATCTGAAAATGCATGGATACATATTTGAGGAACAGATTTGTGCCGATGCGTATCTGGGAAGAATTCTGACATGAATTTCTAGTGGAGAATCCCCAGAAAAAAACAGCGCTATATACCACAAAATGTCCCCACGTGTCCTGGGGATTGCTGCCCGTCACTGATGCCTTGCCAGTGTGCAGTTAGATGTATTCAGTCTTAATTAGATGTGTAATGATGGGATTGAAGTATTGCCTCTATGAATACTCCAGGCCTCAGTCCTATGACCCTGTAGTGCTCTCTTTAGCTGAATGACAGGCCCTGTCTATAAAGTCGGCCTGGGTAAACCAAATTGACTTTAAATCTGCTCTGCTTTGCTCCCCCACAGAAAGATGTAGTCACACATTGGTAGGAGGCAAATTGGAAGAAGGCAACAAACCTTCCTCTTTATGCATGCAAGTGCTGTGTGTTACTGCAATGACTTTACTGAGGCATGATTTTAATTCTGCCAGGCAAAGTCTGTGGGGATCTAATCCTGCAGGCATCATCCAGCAGAGGGAAAAGATCATCTGCTGGTGAAGTTATTGGTATAATATGTATGGTGCCAATTAGAAGAAACAACTCACGGGATTCTTACAGTTTTTCTCTTCCTGAAGTTGACTGCAGCCCTTTATATTAACTCCATGGGATAGGCGATATCAGAGCAGGGGAACTAAGCTTTGGATGTCCAAGAAGGTGGCATGGTGTAAAGGAAAAGCAGCGTGGGTGGGAGGGTGACCTGCCACCGTTCTCCTCAGAATTGTCTGACCATGTTAGAGCCACGCTGGGCCTGCCTTGTCTCTGGGAATGCTGAAATGAGCAAATCTCTTGAAGCTACGCGAGACGGACGTTTGCTGGCTGCGGAGGCGGCTGCCTGCAGTCTGCAATCTTGTGCTGTCTGTATGTCACAATTTACCAGTTACACAGGCTTGAGCCCATGCAGAGATGTGAAAGAAGACTACAAAGTGTTACCCCGAAACAGCAGCATAGTCTTCTGTTTGCAGCTGAGTCGATGGTAGCCATCTCTCCAATGGCATATGGTCAGATAAGGTCACACATGATAGCAAAGGTCTCATGTTCACCTCTAAGCAAGTATAGCCCTTAAGTTCAGCATAATGGCTAGCTAAGTATTTTTCACTTGCTTTGGTTGCTTCACTTGGTTTGATTGTCCAGGTGCATGAATAAGGGTTTATCTTTTTTTGTTTTTGTTGTTTTGGGGTTTTTTTTTTGAGTCCCATCCGGAACTACTGAGGACAGGTCCTCCTAGGGGTTTGATTGCTTGACTTTATTCAGGTCTTGCAGTGACATCTTCATGCTTGAGTATGTAAATATCTCCCTTTCATCTCAGTGTTGCTGTTAACATCCAGCTGTTGTTTGTAATCATGTTTAAATATACTTGCACAGCAAAAAGATGACTGACCTCTAGTGTTTTCTAATTATAGTAGTGCCTGGTAGCATCGTTCTGATTGTTTATTGGTACAACAACTCTAAGCCTGTATTTTAAAAGGGTTTCAAACTCTGCCATGAGTATCTGCTCCTGGCAATGCTTGGCACAACAGAACTGAGCTGCAGAGCTGTCTATATTTTGTATTCACCAAATAAGAAGGAATTCCTTTGATTATTTTTGGACTGTGTGACAGGATGGGAAATGAGGAAAAAAAGGATATGAGATTCTCAAAAGTATTTTTGCATTTTTCCTTCTGAGATGTTTGCTAAAAAACCATTCATCCTTTGAGTAAAAATGAGCTGCACAGCCTTGGGAAAATGTTTTCTTTTCTTCTTTTTCCACAGCACAGACCATGGCAGTGCAAATGTCTTGAGTAAAGCCGTGGCTGATTTTCGTTTAGAGCAGTGATTCGTAACTTTTTCCTTTTTGGGGGCAGGACGCGTACGGCTGGCCTAACTGCCCTTTCTCCCCTCCTCATCTTCCCTTGGATTTTTGGGTGTTCCCTCATGTCTCTTGGGCCCACAGCAGTATTGCCTTTCACGTCAGTCTTGTTCCTTCTCCTCCTGTGCTCCCAAAAGCATCCCTGCCAATGGTAACTTTGGTGAAGAGGTTAATAAATGTGGCGAGCCAAGCCTCCGAGCTTGGCATCTGCTTTGCAGCTGCCTCCCTTTAACCTTGCTAAGCCTCACTCTAGAGGTGAAGTCCTCCAGTAGGGAGCTGGTGGGGAAGAGTGTTACTGGGAATGAGCCACACTGCCCCATCTTCTGCCTGTTTTTTTTCTGTCTGAACTTCCCCTTGAAGAGCCAGTTGTTGGCAGGGAGGGGGAAAATGGCTTGAAACTTGCTCGTTTACTTTGTGCAGGCCAGAAAGCCATCAGAACAAAAGGTCTTTTGGAAACTGGTATTCTGGACCAGTTTTATCATTTCAAGGTAACTACAGTGCATTCTTAATCTCCAGATACCTTGGTTTTACACAATGTGCTTTACGTAAAGCAAACGAACAAAAGAGTTTGGTAAAGATCTTAATGCATTTCCCCCCAAACAGCAAGAAAAGCATGATTTCCTTTCCGATGATATGAGTGAATTTAGTGCTCATGAGTGTCATGAATTAAAAGAACAAGTGAGAGTGAGAAGATGTGGAGGAGGTTTTGGCAATAGGCTTTCACCATGGACCTCTGCCTTTCGCCCCGCGCTGGCATCATTCTGGTCCGAGAGCACTAGGGCAGAGTCTGGCTCTGCGGGAGCTTCTGCAGCTTCCCTTGCCGTGGTGCCTGCGCTGACTGCCATTCGGGCACTGGCATAGTGCCCTGTGCCAGGAGCGGGGAGCCTGCCTCACAGTGCTGTTGCA